ATTTATTGTACATAGAATGCAAATGTGTGATGATTTACAGGAAATCAGTTTTTAGTTGACTGTCTTTCAATTTAAACAATTTGATTTGTTGATGGTCATTGTTAATATTCTCAGGTGTCCCAATCCAAATGACGACACAGTGGAGCTGCTGCAGAACGGCGTCTCGACATCCAGCCGTTTCTCCTTCAGGATGTTTATCTTCACTGCAAACTCCTCTAAGCTTTACCTGCACTGCGCTGTTCACCTGTGCCTTCTGTCAAGCAATCGCTGCTCAACTGTGAGTTTACAAAACCTCTCATAATTAGTAAAACTGTTATTATAATATGTTTCTCTGTATAGGACTAATGTATTGAATGCATCTCGTAAAATGTAATGGTTCAATTGTAAGGATTTAAGAATTTACCATTGATAAACCCCTGTTGATCAAACATTAAAAATTGAAGGAAAATGTTACCCTTAATGTCCATGGTGGTAAGGTTTGTCGTCTGTTGGACACTTTGTGCACTCCTTTATGTTTCATGTTTGTCCTTTATGTTTCATGTTTGTTCAATGATATTTATCAGGGATTCACACAGCTGGATTTTCTCTTTTCTCTTTTAGGACTGTAACTCTGAACACCACTGGAGAGAGCACAGGTCTCTGGACTTCCATGACAGTGCTTCCATATCCATGGGTCCTCTGATGTTGTCTGAAGGGAACACAGGTGAACATTTCATTTATTTTAATCATTTGTAAATGAAGGTTTCTGTTGATTTCTGCTGGCAATGCATTACATTTCATTGCATCATATTTCCTGTTCACAGATGAGTGGATCCCAGAGAAAGTGAAGGCATCTGAGGCTTCTCATCTCTGTGGTTCTCTGATGCTGTTGCTTGTTCCTCTGATGAGTTTCCTGACCCTACTTTAATGTTTTTCTTCAAATATAATGTAATCTTTTATATGCATAATTTCTAATGCCATTTTAATGAATATTTGAGTGTTTGTAAATTTCTCCTTGTCATAAATGTTCTTTTATTTTCCATTATCAGTTATTTAATCATTTATGTGGATTGTTCTATACTAAATTAATTGTATTTTACTTCAGAGGTTGTGCTACATTACCAAAGACCATCATATTCTTGTTTATTCTTGCTTAATCATGCAAAAACATTAAAAAGTCATTCCTGTTCTGCAGTTGCTTTTCAATTCTCCAACTTTTTATAAAAATTGGGCAGCAGAATTTTAGAGATAACAAACCTGAAATATGTTATGTTGTGATCAGTGTCAGACTTTGTTGGCACCCTAGTCGAAATTTTAGAAACACTGAAATACTGGCAGCACTCAATTGGACTCAGATTAAATTAATATTATAAACTTATAAATATAACGTACAAAAAAATTTATTGCAATAATGAAAAATTTGACAAACAACCTGTTCCAAATTACTTTCTAATTAAGTACAAAAGAACTAAACAAAACACAAACAGGCAAAGCATGATAAATAAAGTTGTGAAGTACTGTATCTGACTAAACTGTTTGTCACATTTGAATCACGATAGAGAGTCAAGTCATTCAATGTACTGTGAACAGCATAACTCATGTCTGTAAGGAGAAGGTAACAATGATATAGATATGCGTTTACTAAATGTATTATAAGGCATATATAATAGGGACACAAAAAGGCAGTTGAAATGATCTAGAAGGTAGTGGGGGAAAATCATTTTGATGGCTAAGCAGGGCACCTGACAATCTGCCTGTTTTTCCTTTTGTATTAATTTACTTTCAGTACAAGGAAGAAAGAGATGAATGATCATAGTTTTCATTTTTTTGCTACGATAATATGCATGAGACATGTCCTGCTATTTTACTTTCAATTCTAAAGGCTTTGAAGAATGTTGCCGCACTGGTTGAATTGTTCTTTCAGAGAAAGTCATGTGTGAGGTTTGATCACTAGACAGATAAACAAAAATGTTCTTGTATTGTTCTTTTGCTTACTTGAGAGACTGGCAGTGAAGAGCTGGGTAGGAGGTCGGAGTGCGTTCAGTGTGAGACAGAAATTAGCATTGAAAATCCATGTTTGGATTTGACTACTAAATATTACAAGTAATTAGAAAATGTCTTCATTTGATCATAAACAATCAGTAGACAGTGATAATATTATATGACTCAAATTGTTCCTGCCTAACATGTTAAGATATGATGATGAACATGTTAAGATATGAGCTAAAAGATAAAGTATGAGCTGCTGTTGTATATAATGTTAATCTATTTAAGAGGTATTTATTGTGTTTTAATTGTTCTCTGAGAGTTAAAGTGCTACATATCTAAATGATCTGGAACTGTATGTCATGTATTCAATATATATTCAACAGGTTTTTGATTGTGACAGATACACTTAATCTGAAGGTTTCCTGTATGTTCTGTCGTTTCAGTGCACAATTAATTAATGTGCACAAAATAATTTAGTTTCAGATTATCTGACATTTTATCACAACATCAACTTTAGTCATTTATATAATAATTTATCTAGACATTTGATTACCCTGCTGAACACTTTGCTTGTGATTGTACACATTCATTCAGCAGTTGGGGGTTCAGTGCCTTGCTCAAGGGTCTCGCCTCAGTCAAAGTATTGAGGGTGGAAGAGAGCGCTGGTCATTCACTCCCCCCACCTACAATCCCTGCCAGTACCGAGTGATCCTGATCACAGTCTCCGCTGGGATCTCATCGTCAGAGAGTAAAGCAATGTTGTTTTATCTATTCTTTAAAGCTCTTAACTCACTAACATTTAAAAAAAATAAAATGCGAAAATAAAAAAATGCGCATAGACTGAATAAATAATATGCCATATCCCTTTAGGATGACCTCACATATTATCTTTCAGTATTGCTGTACTAATGCAAAGAATTCCATTTATTTATTGTACATAGAATGCAAATGTGTGATGATTTACAGGAAATCACTTTTGAGTTGAATGTCTTTCAATTTAAACAATTTGATTTGTTGATGGTCATTGTTAATATTCTCAGGTGTCCCAATCCAAATGACGACACAGTGGAGCTGCTGCAGAACGGCGTCTCGACATCCAGCCGTTTCTCCTTCAGGATGTTTATCTTCACTGCAAACTCCTCTAAGCTTTACCTGCACTGCGCTGTTCACCTGTGCCTTCTGTCAAGCAATCGCTGCTCAAAGGTGAGTTTACAAAAAATCTCTTATATTTGTGTGTTGAACAACAATGTAATTTATCAGTTATTATGCAGTGTCTCTGTCCGTTTGTTTGTATATATTAAGTTTCTATAGTAAAATGTGATGGGTAAATGTGAAGGTTTATGAATCTGCAGTTTATAAACTCTTGCTGATGAAACAATAAGAAAGGTTGGTGTTAATGTTTAATGTTCAAGGCTGCTAAAAGACTTGTTTTGGCTAAGTTGTTCTAGAGACTTTGTGCGTTGCTTTGTTTCATATTTGTTCAGTGATATTTATCAGGGATTCACACAGCTGGATTTTCACAATTTCTCTTTTAGGACTGTAACTCTGAACACCACTGGAGAGAGCACAGGTCTCTGGACTTCCATGACAGTGCTTCCATATCCATGGGTCCTCTGATGTTGTCTGAAGGGAACACAGGTGAACATTTCATTTATTTTAATAATTTGTTATAAAGGTTTATGATTATTTCTGTCATGAATACTTCACATTTTACTGCATTATATTCCCTGTTCACAGATAAGTGGGCCCTAGAACAAGTGAAGGTAGCTGATGCTTCTCGTCTCTGTGGTTCTCTGATGCTGTTACTTGCTCCTCTGATGAGTGTCCTGACCCTCTTTTAGTTAAATTCAAAAGGTGCAACATTTGACATGCATATTGCCATTTTAATTACTGTAGAACTGAAGGCACCCTGGTTTTTGGGTTTCTTTATTTCATAACTGTTATTTTTCCATTATGAATGAATTGTTATTTAATAATACATCAATTGTTATATATACTGCATGTGTTGCTACAACAAAAACCATCAGATTAATGTTTATTCAAATCATGCAAAAACATAATTGGGCCATTCCAACTTAAAAAAAAGGGATTGTGTAGTAGTAAGGAAATACTTCTATAAAGGG